ATATGAGAATTACGGACTCCTCCTCCCTTTATCAAATCCGCTTAATTGAAAAACTCCAATTTCTTTCAAAATTCTGCTCATACACTCCCATCTGTGTCTCTTTCCTTACTTTTTCTCCTTCAGAGAGAAACTGGTCGGTCAAATGCTCTATTGAACACTAAAAAAGAAGCACCCATTTCCCCAAATCTTCCCTTCCTTTTCCTTCTCTGCTTCCCCACCACTCTCAAAGAAAGAAAAGAAAAAGAAAAGTCTGGGTTATGGACGGCGGTGCTGCCTACAACCCACGTACTGTTGAAGAAGTCTTTCGAGATTTCAAGGGTCGTCGAGCTGCCATGATTAAAGCTCTCACTACTGGTATTATTCTACACCCTTTCTTTCATTTTTTTAAAATTTCTACTCTTTTGTCTTACTCCTTAGTCATCTTCTTAACCACCCTTTTTGTTTTCCATATCTTAAAGTTTGTTTGTTTACTTTTCTGGGTTTGGTGTTGCTTGCAGATGTGGAAGAGTTTTACAAGCAGTGCGATCCAGGTACTGAGTTTTTCTTCGCTGTTGAATTTGTTGTTCCCAGCTTCGTTTTGTTGAAATGATTTATCTGGAGAATTGAAGTTTGAGTTTTTTTCGTTTTCAATGTATTTTCTTTGTTTTAAATTCAACTGAAGACAAAATTATCTGTAGTGCATGCAATGTTGTTAACGATTCTAGCTTGTATTGTTGTTTAATTCTGATGTCATGAAGACAAAATTATCAGTTTTTGAGCAATCATTTATGCTTAGTTTGAACTTTCCTTTCTAAAAATATGAATGGATTATTTTGGACTAAGAGTGATCTATTTACAACATTCTGTTCAGACGAGGTAGATTTGTTTATTTCAACAGTTTGTTGTTATTTCTTAGGAGTTCTTTTCACAAATGTGGATTCCTTTTCTTTCTTATAAACTACTATTCGATTTTTAAAAGTAGTGTTTTCTTTGTTTGTGCTCATTATTAGTTGCTTATTGGTTTGTAGGATTTGATTTGGATAAAAATGTATGTTCATCATATGATTGCTTACTTGTTTTACCTCGTTCAGTTCCAGATGCACGAAATGGAAATGGAAATGAGTTAATTGACTCTTTAAATTTTGGTTTCAGAGAAGGAGAATCTTTGCCTTTATGGATATCCCAGTGAGCAGTGGGAGGTGAATTTACCAGCTGAAGAAGTGCCTCCAGAGGTTCCGGAGCCTGCACTGGGTATTAACTTTGCCAGAGACGGGATGCAAGAAAAGGACTGGTTGTCTTTGGTTGCCGTACACAGTGATGCATGGTTACTTTCTGTCGCTTTCTATTTTGGTGCTAGGTTCGGATTCGATAAATATGATAGGTAGTTTCTCCTATACCCAAGTGTCATATCCTGTTTTGGCTTTATACACCGTTACAGATGTAAATAAGCCAAGTTACTCATAGGCATGCAACGGTCCATCCAAATTGATTCAAGTATCTTGCAGTTTTGGTGTTCTGTTAATCATTAGTATTTTGTTATCTTCTTCTCTCTCCCTCTCTGTAAATGGATCTTCATTTTAAGGTAACTTTTAGTACATTATCTAAACCTGTTTAACTTGCTAGAATTTGCTATTTGGTTCGGGAAGCCCCATTTACTATTCTTGTTTAAACACCTATATATAAGGCTTCCCTGAAAATATATTGCATTACTAGTTTAAAATCTTTGCAAAAATGCTAAAGCTAGGTGTTCTACATCCAATATACGATCGGACTGATCCTTAAATATAGGCCTCAGCGTGGCCATGGAGTGCTTTTAGTGTCCGTGTACACAGTATGTGCTAGGCATTGCATGAATGAGCATGTTAATTTAGGACACTGTGTAACAGTTTTGCATTTGATTGTAACAAGTATGATATACTTTGAGCTACTGTTTTTCTGCAATAATACCAGTCGATTTGATGCAGGAAACGCCTTTTTAATATGATAAATGATCTTCCGACAATATTCGAAGTTGTGACAGGAGTAGCTAAGAAACAGACAAAGGAAAAATCGGCAGTTTCAAATCATAGCAGCAACAAATCTAAATCAAACTCTAAGGTATGGAAAAAAAAAATCTTGCTCACTTTTCTGTTAAATGTTTATCTGTTTAAATTTTAAGGTTAAGGTTGGTTGAGTTCAAACATATTATTACATTATTCTCGCAGTTTGATGGGTTTATGGAGTGAATTTTATCATTGGTTGCTGTTTTTTTTAATTATTATCAAAATCCCATGTAGGCACTAGAACTTAATTTAGTTATACCGAATCTAGTCAGCGCGATGGATTTTCATTAATAGATTTTCAATGTTCATTCGTCATGTGCTGATAGCAGACCCGAAGGGAGAAGTAACCTTACGATTTCAATGGAAATGGACCTTATAAATTAGATTTCTTTTTCCCCTTTTATGTTTTGATAATACACAGCGAGGATCTGAATCCCAGCCCAAGTATTCGAAGGCGGTGGCAGCCAAGGATGAGGTTGAAGGTGGTTTGGAAGAGGAAGATGATGAGGAGCACGGTGAGACATTATGCGGGGCTTGTGGAGATAATTATGCAGCTGATGAATTCTGGATTTGCTGTGATATGTGCGAGAAATGGTTCCATGGGAAGTGCGTTAAGATTACGCCTGCAAGGGCCGAGCATATTAAGCAGTACAAATGCCCATCGTGCAGCAACAAGAGAGCTCGACCTTGACGACGGTTGCGCTTGGTGGTTTGTTGTATGTGGATTCGGATATCGTGGACTTCCTAACTGTCTAGTAGGTGGCGTAGTAGTCAGTGTGTGGTTTAATTTAGGAGACCTTTGTTTACTTGGTGTCTACTTAGAATGTATGGAGGTCGTGAACTTGCTGTTTAATTTGATTATAAAATTGGCTATTTATAATCGTTTCTTTCTGCAATTGGAAGCTAGACTTGCTTTTATGTTTGAATCTTTTACCGTGCCATAATTTCACATTTAATCCCTAAACTCTTGCAAAATTTGTGATCGTGAAAACGTGTTTTGTGCCCTTTTCAGATAAACTTGGTATAATTTTTTATTTTATATGACGAGTTTAAGGTACATTATAAAAAACACTTAAAATCTCTAAATAACTCTCATCAACCTCATTTCATTCATTTTCTTTTCAAGTGTAATATCTCTGATTGATTAAACACATTAACTGAATTTTCTCATAATTTTATCTAATTAAAAAAAAATTCACCATCTTAAAATCAACAATTAATCATTATCATTATAAACTTATTAACAACACTATGAAAATAAAACATTAAATTCACTTAAGTAAAATAACGAGGACTAAAATCAAAATTAGACCAAAATAGTAATATATATATATATATTATACTGTTCTCGAATGTGACGCCTCATCCAGAATGAAAGCCGCAATACTTGCACGTGCATCGGACTCCTGTTTCTAAGAAAGAGAAAAACTACAGAAAAATAAAATAGAAAAAGTTATAAATCAGAAATATAACAAGAAACGATCGTAAAGAAATAATATTGAACTTATGTGAAAAATTTACATAAAAAATTAATTATATATTTATAATTGTATAGATACATAATCCTAATAATAAATAGATCTCCTCTTCCACCATAAAATTTTTTTTCTTTCAATTTTATTAAATTAAATTAAATTAAATAAAATTCCAGTTATAATTTCTAACCGTAACTGCTGCTCAATATAGGCTCCAGACGTGGACTCACTTGCATGTGCAATCATAGGAGTTTTCTTAAATCTGCATCTCTCTATGTAATAACTAAACCAACAGAAATGACTAACAAGCCAAAATGGCACCCAAGGAACATAAAATTTTATATTAAACATGAATTTTAAAAAATTAAAAAATAAATTTATAAATTTTAAGAGAAACGAAACTCATTACCAATAAATTTAAAATATAAAAAAATTAAAAAAAAATTCAAGTAACACTTCGATCCATCCCCGAGTGTGCTTGTTTTGGATAAAATCTTGGACAGCAAAATCGAGCGGTGGGTGTATGTCTGTTGTTTCTACTTGATGGTCCATTCATGGTGTTAATGGTGGCAGATGTTGTATGGCCCATGGAAAATCCAATGCAGCCACTGGGTTTTTTTATCAGCCCCTGGTTTTCCGACCCTATGATTATCTGATTCTGACATGCACCTTATGTTTAGGGCAAACACACTGATGTGATCACTAAATTTTTAGGATACTTTTTTTTATCACTAGAATACTAAAAATTACATTATAGTCATTAAATTTTTAATTCATTTTTATTACGATCACTATCGTTAGTTGTTGCTAAGAAAAACTGATGCGATACGTTTAAAAATTTTAAGCTTTTTCTTCCAGAAGATTAATATTGTTCGATTTTGAATTGATCCGACGATTGAGAATGATAAATTAAAAAAATTAAGTTTTAGTTTCGATTAGGATTTGAAGATATTGAAAGATTTTTCAATAAAATAGAGTAGTTTGATTATCTTCTCTACTGAAAAACTACCAAACAACAACAAAAAGGACAACAAAAGAATGAACTATGATTGTCGATAAGAAACAAGATAAGTCGGAGTTTCTTTTTTTTAACTTTTAAGATGTAATATCAATTTTTATTAACGATAATGTTCGTAATGAAAGTAAATTAAAAAATTAATGATTATAAAATATATTTTAAAAATTCAATGAGTAAGATGAAAACATTTCGTAAGTTAAGTGATCATCAAAGATAATTTATTCTTTTATATATATATATATATACATATATATAAGTAATAACCATTGATACAATATAAATGTTTTAGATTTTTATTTTTATTTTTATTATATTTAGATAAGTGAATGAATGAAAGACTAAAAACTAAAATTTTATGATATGTAGGTGGATCCGAATTCTCACATTCGCGTGTATATATACATGTATGAGTTCATCTTCCTGTTTTTCTCCAAGATTGAGAACATGGAAGCTACATTAGTACATAATGATCCAGATGAAGGGGGGGGGAAGGATAAACAAACTGCCAGATATACTTTTTACATTAACAAACCAAAGGAAGAAAAGAATTTACAGTTAGTAACTCCTTACTAAGCAAACTGGTTAAACCCATCAGGCTCTCTTTTCATGTTGTCAATGGCTCTCGGGTCTTGGTCGATAGCCGCTTCAAGAACTCATAGGTCATGATCATGGTTGTAGCTGACATAGCCATCGATGCCCATCGTGGTCCCAATCCTCTGTAACAAGCTGCCAATCCTCCTCCTTGTACTAAATTCCGCACCGTTTGCGGCACACTCGATGGTTTTCTTATCCCATTCTCTTCCCTGTCCAGTACCTGTAATCTGGTCTTGATGGTGTCGAGTGGCATGGTGATCAAAGCCGAAACGCCACTGGCCATGGCTGCACTTACCCCTTGGACAGCCACAAAGGCCTTCGATTCAGGCCTAAAACCACTCTCATCTTTTTTACACAAGGAGCAACCGATACCACTCCAAATGAACTTGTGTGCAACGGAGTAAGATGCCCACCAAACGGCGTTCGACGGGGCGTACGTCAAGATCGAGATCCCAAATCCCCTGTATAGTCCTTTAGGACCATCTGCATATAGAATTTTCCTAAACGCATCAAAACCATTCCTGTATCTACAAAAATTCACATTGTTCACATTTTTGCTACTGTTGACATCATTGTATCCTTGAACCATAAGCCTTTGGCTCACAACATCAATTGGGGTCCAGACCAGTTGAGCAGCCATGGCTGAACTCAAACCAGCAGCTGCATTAGATATAGCAGTTGCTGAAGTATCTGAATACCCTAAACTAACAGTTGCAGTGCCAACACTGCTCTTGGTAACCTCAAGGGCTCCCATGTAAAGGGATCTAGCTGGGATTGTCCCCATCAAAGAGGTACCAAAACCCCTATAGAACCCTCTAAATCCTTCATATTTCATGATGGTAAAACACATTTTAAAGCAAGAAACTTGTGTAGATGCAACTTGTTGCCTAGTTTTCAACACCACTATAGGGTAAAGAGCAGCTGATACACCTGAAAACAAAGCACCACCAAGGAAAAAGAACTTGGATTTATCAAGCATATGCCAATCTATATCTGCTGGTATGTGAATCTCTGACCCTGAATCATCCTCACTGCACTTATGCTCATTTTCGCCACTTTTTTTCAATCCGTTTAGCTTAACCAAGTAAAATCTGATTCCTTTTTTTGTTACCCTTTCACCAAAACTAATCACAAATCAACTCAGCTAAGTACTTCTAGCATTTGGACAAAAAAGTTAGGAACATTAAGCAGAAAATAAAAGGAAAAACAGTGACTTTCTAGCTTCTTTTAGCTGTAAAACCAGAAATCAAAAAGGGTTTTCGTTGGTTCTTCTTCCTTTTCCTTTTGCGCAGCCAAATTTGAGATCGAAAATGGATCAGGAGAAATAAGTCGAGCATTTAAACTCTATATAAAAACCCCAGATTTTATCTTTGATTCTTACCAGAAAAAGACCATGTCTTTGCAACATCTTCAGGGCTTCATCTTTACTGTCAATAGGGCAACTGGGAAAAAACCAAAACAGAGAGGGAGTGAAAGAACAGATCTTGAACCAAAAGAATCAAAGAGAAGGGAAAATACAAAGTTGGATTTTTTTCACAGAAAGCGAAATGGATAGCGTTAACAATAAGGATATCCAAAAGAGAGAGGTGGGAGAGAGTGAAAGAGGGAAGCTTTAACGGTAGTAGAGGGAGAGGAAAACAACAATGGTTCTGGATTTTAGCAAGGGTTTTTGCGGATCGAGGAACGTGGACACGTGTTGGTGTTCATATGGGGGGAGCTTTATTAGCCTACTTTTAGGCTTACTTGGCTCAGCTGAACTCACCGATTCCATAAACAGAATCACATCTTAATCTAGTCGGTGATTGGTTTGTTGGTGTATACCATCTCGGTTTCATAAGATTCTTCCTAGTATGATTATAGGGTTTCTTTCTTGGTGTAATGTTAAATTAAGAGACAACGTTTTTCTAAATTATTATTTTAATTTTAAATAAAAATGATTTATATTCAATTATCTTTATTAGTTAACTTCAATAAAATTTATATATGTTTAATTGTTAACGTGTCATATATTATATCATCATTTTGAGTGATGAAATATCACATGTAACATCATTGCTTTGATAATATGATATATATCATATTATTATATTATATGACGTGATACATATTATATTATTATTTGGATAAGATGACACGTATCATCATCTTGTAATATGACACCTATCAAATTATCATATTTACTGATGTGACATATGTTATGTTATCATCTTAAATATATTAACAATTAAACACACATGAAAATATTACGTTAACAATACGGGTTGATTGTCGACTAATTAATAATTTTAATCAAATAATTTACATTTTAATTAAAAATTAAAATGTAAGAGACTAAAATAAAAAAAAATAAGAGTTAAAATATCATTCAAATAATCATTGGACTCTCAACATTGTACCTTATTTCTATTATATTCGCATTATTTTCTTCCAGCTTTGATTTAGCCTTTTCATGCTTTTGGGTACCATTCAATGAAATTTGTCCACTTTCTCTTTAAAATATATAACAAGTCGTGTCACAATGACCTACTTTGTGTGGAAATTGCCAAAATGGTGTAATGTTTTGATTTTTACGTAGATAATCTCTTCACTGTTTAGTAATCATCCCATGTTTCTTGGTCAACTTAAGCTTCCTTTATATAATTATAAACCATTCAACGGTTTTGTCGACATCAGCATGAAAGAAATGTCTCATCGAGCTTTATCACATAAATTTGACTTGTAAAATTCTTGTCTGCAACTGCTTAAGCTATCAGCGGCAGCTTCTCGATGGAGTGCTCGTTAATTATGCGGTCGAGAGTCCTTTACATGTTGCAGCAATGCTTGGACATTCAGATTTCGTCAAGGAGATTATACAAACCTTCTTTATCTAGCCAAAGAGCGGCTGAAATTTCGTATTCGGGGCCTCGAATGCTGGTGCTCGAAAAGACTTTGAAGAAGGAAGATTGGGTCACAAGGAAACGAGATTCATTGATGGTGGTGGCATCACTTATGGCAAATTGGCAACAGTGTCTTTCCAAGCTCGACTAACCCCTCCCAGGTGGTCTGTGGTTCGGTACAAGCACCCCAAGCCAACAACAGAGGCGGGGGACTTCGATAACGGCATATAGAAACAAGAGATGTTATAATCAGTACCTTGATGCCAACATGATAAGTTTCATCTCATCGATGAGCATGATCTTGTTGCTGATTACATGGCTGCCTTTCCATGTCGATGTTAACTCTCGTAATGTGGGTCGCTAAGTGTAAAGTAGTCAAAAGAGTTTTTTTTGGGTAAATTACATCTGGTAGTCGCTGAACCTTTAATACACTTTCATTTTGATCACCTAACTTTTATAATTTATATTACCATCAATAAACTTTTATTTCTATTTCAAATGCTGATATTAAAATCTTCTCCCCACTAAAAAAACCCTAAGATTCATAAAGATAAATTCAAGAACAACCACTAATCAATTCCAACAGTCAACTTAATTTTGTTTGGCTAAAATATTAACATAATTTGATTTCAAGTTGGTCGTGTAGTTAACAGCGACGGATAATCTTTTTAGCTATTTAATTTCGATTAGGATTTGAGGAGATTAGAAGATTATTTGAGAATTTTGAACAGAAGGAAAGAAAGAGAAGAAAAAGAGGAAAAACTTGGTGATATTTTCGATTGGGAAAACATCGAATGATGGCAGAAACAACAATAGAACGAGATGATGATTTAATAGAAATTAAAAGTTAAAACTTTGTAATTCGTAATTATTCGTCAGATCAACTTAAAATCGAAATATGTTAATTTTATAACCAAATTAAGTATTTTTCACCATTAGAATTGACGGGCGACCATTATGTTCACCGTCATATCAATACTTTTTAACGATAGCTAACACAATGATCATAATGAAAACAAATTAAAAATTTGTAATGCAAGTTTTAAAAATTCAATTATCAAAGTAAAACCACCTTAAAAGTTCAATGAATCTTAGAGTACTTTACCCTTTTTTTAATCATCAATATGCATTGTAAACATTTTAAGTAAAGTTATTAAAAACATTTTTAATGTAAACATTTAATAGCAAAATAAAAAAATTTATACATTAAATATCAATAAAATATAATAAATGAGCCTAATTATTTAATATTGTATAATATTGATATAGTATTTAACATTCTTTAGTTTAATTTTTATAAATTTAAATATTATGAACTTAAATATTTTTTATATTTATTGAATTTAATATACTTGGACTTGAAAAATTAATCAAACCTAGTAATTAACTCAAATTAATGACCTTTTAGCCATTAATTAATGACCCATTATTCTATTGAATTTTCTACTGTTATCCTCACACCAAGTTGTATAGCTAACCACACAATTAATTCGAGTTTGAATTATTTAATGATTTGGTCTTTCATTTTTTTTGTATTTTTTTTATTTTTTATAATTTAATTACTTAATTTTATATTTTATTTAATTTGGTCATTTTACTACATTTCTTTATAAATTCTTTCTTCCAATTAATTATTTGATTCCTTTATACTATCACAACACTTTTTTCTCAAAACTTATTATAAAAAATAATACTATAAATATAGTATATATATATATATATTAAATGATATTTGATTTATTTAATAATACTATAAAGCTTACTTTATATATATATATATGTATGTATATCGTAAGTTTAAATTAGAACCAGTCAATGCCATAATATTATAAATATACAATTCAATTTAAATAGAAATTTAAATAAATATATTTTATTTAACTCATATTTTATAAATCCGACTCTAAATTTTTTTTAAATAAACTTAAATGATAATAATATTTTATTGGATGTAATTTAACTCTATGTAGTACTCATCTCTGATTAAACTAAATTTTTTTATTAGCTGACCTTATTCCCATATGTAATTGGGTAAGGGGAGATAGGATAGTAGGCTGCCCCTAACGCCAGGTTGAAAGCAGCTTCCGTGGGAGACCTCTGACAGTCAGAATTATGAATTTCTCACCGTGGGACTCGTTCCCACGATCCCAAGGTTAAGAGCCTTGCGCTCTACCAACTGAGCTGGACGGGATTCAATAAATTAGCTGACCCTTATTCCCATATGTAATGGGGTAAGGGGGAGGTAGGATAATAGGATAGTATGCTGCCTCCACCGCCAGGTTGAGAACAGCTTCCGTGGAAGACCTCCGAATTATGAATTGCCCTCCGTGAGACTCGATCCCACGACCACAAAGGTTAAGAGCCTTGTTCGAGAAAAACACCCAAATTAAACAACTGTTAAAAGATTAGTAATAGAACGTAGGGTGTAAGCTGCTTTAGTAGCTGCTAAATTTTTACATTCAAAGTGCACTTGCAAGTAAACTTGCCAATGTGGGAATGGATCTATTAATGTTAAAAAAAGTCAGATTCTCTGATGGCTTATTCCTCCTTTTTAATTAAAAAAAACAAACATAGTTAGATTCATGCATAGTAATTAGAGTATTGGATAAATATGGAAAACTCAAAATAAAAAAATCAAATTATATGATATTGAGCAAGATAATTCATTTTTAATTTTAATATTTTAATATATACTAATAATAACCAACTTCTTAAAAATATGACTTAAGGTTAGAAATTATAATTTCATCTGAATTTTGATCCACCTCTACCCTGTAAAGATTAATTTTTCTTCTAAAATTTTGGTTCGAGACAAATTTTAAAAGGAATAAAATTGAAGTCGAAGTAAATTCAAATTTATGATAAAAATTCTTCTACCAATTTAATATTTTTTTTATTACCTTAATATATATATTTTAATATATTTACAAAAATAATATTATATACATATATTATTAAAATATGAAGGCCTACTATGTTGAAGTTTTATTATATATATATAATGTAAAGAGTTTTATTATATACACATATTAATGACCTAATTATCTTTTGGCCATCAATTAATGATCTTCTATGGAGTTTTCTTCTGGTATTCTTGCATGGCCGAGTTTCGGTGCAATGGTGGGGGAAAATGGTCCATGGTAATTTTCTTGGTATAAATAGGAGTGAAACCAAGCACCAAAGCAACACACAGCTTACCATGGCAACTAGATTTTCTCATCAGTTGGAGCAATCCTTGTGTTCTTGGTGTTGCATCCTTTGCAGCCAAGTCTGCGACTTTAAAACTTGAATCCCTTCAAAATCTTGAACATGCCCAGAAAGGAGATGTAGTCAATGGAGTTCATCAAGTGAAGAAATTCCTCAAAGCCTTCGGGTATTATCCTCGTGAGATTAATCGGCTGGATGATCACTTTG